GCGGGGTCTCCCTGCGCCAGGCGCGGGAGCGTCTCTGCCACCACCTTCAACACATCGGCTTCTCTCCCAATCCCACGCCTTCCTCCCCTCCCGCTTTTAATAAGAGCAGAAATTGCCAAACCCACAAAATTAATGTCTAACAGGTTCAAGTCAGAGCAATTCAATCCACCCTTACAACTGCTTGGGAGGTCTCAGGCCAGCTGCCGACCGGCTCCCGGCACGCTGCAGAGGCCTCCCCTCCTCGGAGGCCCTCCGCGCGCGGGGCGCCCCTCGGCCCCGCGCGATGCCCTGGGGAGCACGCGAGCAAGGGGCACTGCGGGCTCCATCCATCCGTCCCCGTGTAGGCAGGGAGAAGGGCCTCGGGGGCAACAGGAGAGGCTGCAAAGTGGATCCCGCTTGCCAAAAAAAGAAAAAGGAAGAAGAAAAACCCCAACAAAAACAACAAGAAACAAAGCAAGTTGCTGGGCCAGGCTGGTGCCAAGGTGATGGAGAGCTGCAGACGCAGAAGCGTCACCCCAGGCGGGGAGCGGGGCCAGCGGCCGCGCACGGAGCCTCCTCCACTCTCTCAACCCCTTTCCTCTCCTTCCCAGCCCGGGCTGGGACCCGCCGTGGCTGCAGCACCCAACGCACCACTGTTTCGCGACCCCTCCTGCAGCCAGGGAGGGGACAAGGCTCTGCTGCGGAGCCTGGAGAAAACTGGAAGGGACCAAAGGGGGAGGAAAACCCCCCCGATTTCTGCCTCGTTCCCTGTCGCGTGCAGGTGTGGGGTGGGATCTCAAGGAGATGGGAGTTCACAGCCTAACACCGCGCACCAGACCCGGGGCCGCTAATGGGCTTCAAGGTCCTGAGGTGCCTCTCAGGTCTCTGGGCATCTCCACAGCATTCCTCGGCGACCCGCAGCACGGGCCGTGAAATCTGGCAACCCTCTCTGCGGGGGTCAGGCGCCCTCCGCCCCATCCGCGTCCTGTTCCCGCACCTCTCACGCTTCCCGGGCAGGAAATCGGAGCTGCAGATAAACCTAGACATGCTCCACGCGCACCCAGCGAGACCCCAGTCTCGCCGAGCACGAGCTGAACGAAGTGCTTTGGGAGGAGAAGCCATCGGAAATGGCGTAGCATTCGTTTCCTTGGGAGGAGAAGCCCAAGGGCCCTCAGCTAATTCTGGCTGTGCATGCTTTATTCTGGCATAGGAGGGTTTATTCCACGTTTGGGAGCGGGCCAAGTTTGCTGGGAGCCGTGCCCCTGCTGCTGCGGGGTACGACCATCCACCCGAGGGACTCCACCGCCTGGTCAGCGCCCCAGGGGAGACAGGAGCCTGCAAAGTCCTTTCCGGCTCAACCCAACAATTCTCCCAAGCCAGACAGCGTTCATCTTCGCAAAGGGCTGAAGTCCCCCCCATGCCGGCAGGGCACAGCCATCATTTGCCCCGGCCACAAAGTCCGATTGCAAACCATTCCCCATCTCAGGGCAGTATATTTATTTCTCCTCCCACAGCTTTTCCTGCAAGTCGAGAAGAGCAGAAAGGGAACCTGCCCAGCGTGCGAGACCCGCGGGATACGCCAAAGCAAACAAAACCCAGGAGCGATCTGTCCCTCCCGGGGCCTGCTGGGATCTGAAAGCACAAACTCTGATTCACAGCAGGGACAGCAGGAGATAATACTCCTCTCTTGGTTTTGGGGCGCATCCAGAGGAGCTCAGCACCTCCCCAGATAGCTACAGCCCCGGCCGGCGAGTCAAGGTCTCCCTCGGAAAAGATCCTGGCAGGGGTGGGTTTATCAGCGACGGGGGCTCGAGTGGAAACTTCCATTGCGATGCACGCGGTTTAGCCCCAGGGGCCGGCAGAAAAGCTGCGCGCGAGTTATCTGACCTGCTGGAAACAAGCCTCCCAGCGCGTAAGAAACGGAGCGAGAGCGCGGCGCGCGCGGCCTCCCCGACAGCACGGCTGGGTGCTACGAGGGAGGCAGCGAACCGCTGCCCGGCCGGCCCGGCGGCCCGCCCGCTCCCCCCCCCCCGGGGG